CGCCCCACCCCAGTCCGTGTTCTAATCCCATACCAACTCTAAACTCAACACCAACTACAATACCTGCTCTCATTAAAAGTCCTTTTCATCGCCATGCTCTTCACCCATCCTGATTTTAAGTCAGAGATGCCACTCAGGTGCTGCTGCTCCCAGAGCTTTTATACCGTCTGGGATTGGGCTGCTCCCTTTCCCCCGGGCCTCACGGGAAGGGAGGTGGGCACGGCCAGGGGTATATTAACCCCAGTCTTTGCTCAGGGAAGTCATTCAGTAGTAGGGTTTCAATGGGATGAGGGGTCTCCCTTTCTTTCATTTAATGGGATTTCTCAAGCTGTTCTTGCTTTATTGACGTATTGGCTTTGGCATCCAAAGAAGCAGAGCTGCATATGGCAGTGAAGAGGGTTACACTCAAATGCAGGTTTTTTAAATGTAATAATTTTGTGTGCTGTGTTGGGAAGGTGCTTTTGTAATGTGTTATCTTTTTTTCTTTTCCTTAGAAGCCTTGCATCTTTTGGGATCTCCTGATCATCTCAACTGCAGCTTGGTGTTTTTTTGCAAGTGTTATCCAGTGCTGAAATGAAGCTGCTCTGTGTTGAAGATGACTACAGACACCCAAGTTTGCAAGTAGTCAGTGGAAGGTTACAGCCCAGAGATGGAAGAAGGGCTCGGGTGCCAGCTTAGGGCTTGCCAGGGGTGTTTTGAAGGTAGTATGGGTGGAAAGCAGTGTCCAGGAGCCCCCTAAATGCCTGTGAAGGCATCCACTGACTTTTCAGATGTGCCACTTTCCTCTCGTTCACCCAGATATTCTGTGCAATTATAGCTGCAGTCTTTGGCTGCAGGCAGTGACCCTGGGTGGTTTGCCTAAAGAGAAGGGAGACTCTTTTAGCTCTCCCCATCCATCTGGGTGACTTTGGTTAGGGTTTCTTTACCGTGTCAGAGGGACAGGGTGTAAAGCAGAGTTGAACAGAACAGAGATCAGAGGAGCAGAGCAAGAAGGTGGGTGGTCACCTAACATCAGCACAAAGATGTGGCTTTTGGCTCCAGGTTTACTGGATGTGTTAAGGATTTTGTTGTTTGGGTTTGTTTTTTCTTTGTTTTCAGCTGCAGAGCCCTGGCCCCAGGAGGCTCTAGGCACCGGAGGGGAGGTGATCCAGGTGAGTACCTGTGAGCAAGGTGAGCATTGACTCCAGGACAGAACTAGATGGTCTTTTACAGGTGTTGTGGTGAATCTGTGCACATGCTTTGTTTGTTGTGTTTTCCAGGGGTTCTGCCACCTTCTAACAGACAGTCCAGTGCTTCAAGGCCCCTGCTGGTAAGAGGTCACTGTGGAGGAGAGGTAGGTAGGAGCTACCCCAGGAAAGGCATCTTTTCAGGCAGTATCTCAGTCTGTACATTTGCCTTTGGCTTTTTTACTTTGCAGAGAATGTGTGCAGCCTCAGAGGGCCGCAGCCACTTGCCAGTTAGGTTTGATGGTCTTCAGCTGTCCTTGTGAGTAATCTCCTAGTACTACGAGGGTCATCAATTAAGGCTGGACCTTTTCCAGTTGCAGGTGCTCTCTGGCCTCCTTTGGCAAAGGAGGAGCATTGAGGTTGAGTCGGGGAGGTAGTGAGGAGGTGCTGGGGTCTCCCTTACTTTCAAACACACCAC